TATATATATATATATATATATATATATATATATATATATATATATATATATATATATATATATATATATATATATATATATATATATATATATATATATATATATATATATATATATATATATATATATATATATATATATATATATATATATATATATATATATATATATATATTATGATGATGCCCGCGACGTGCAAACCCGCGTGGCGACGCATGCGCTGCCCTTCCTGTACCCACGCCAGGGTATTTGCCGCGTGGCGCGCAATGTTGGGCATCACAGACCGGGGGTTTGTGGCCCCCTTGAAGGCCGGCGCCAACCATACCCTGGGGAAGACCGCCGCGTAGGCACGCAAGATGTAGGGCGGCACCATGCGGGTCACGTCCGGCCCGTACGCCCACACCACGGGCTCTACCAAGCCCGCCAGCGAGTGCAGGAGCGTGGACGACGCGTGGCGGAGCATGTCGTCCCAGATCAGCACCTTGACGTCCCACCGGGCCTTGGCCGAGCGGGCCACCTGGGCCACGTGGTCCACGTATAGCTGGAGCGGCGCCACGCCCTTCGAGCGGCACCGCTGACACTGGGCCAGCGTGAACACTTCGTCGGCGCCGATGTGAAGGAAGTGGCTTGGCGCTGCCGTCATGATCTGGTCGACGGCCTCCAGCACCAGACGCGCCGTCCCAGGATTGGTGGGGCACGCCTCCCCCGGGCTCTCTCCCTCGCGCAGGTCCGCCCACTTCTGCTGCTTGAGGGCGTACTCCATGTGGCCGAGACTCTGCACCAGGTGGATCACACTTAGGCCGGCGCCCTTCGCGGCCTGCATGATGCGCGCGACGTCCTGCAGGCTGTAGGCGTTGTGCGCAGACAGCTCGGCGAGAGGACTCGTGAAGGGGAACATGTCCTCCCACTCCAGGAGAACGCCCGTGGCCCCCGCCCGCGCCGCCAGGCTCATCATGCCCTCGATGAAGGGCACGAGCGGAGCGCCTCCTTTGAGATCCAGGTGCCAGAGACGTTCAGGTGGCACTTCCATCCCCGTCTGCGTCTGCAGTTCCTTCGAGGCCGCATGCGTGCGCCCGCCCTGGCCGCGGCGAGGAGTGACCACGAACACGGGACTCGCGTTCGGGTTCGGGTCTGCCACAAGCCACAGCTTGATCACTACCAACACGCACAGCAACGCCACAGCCAGCATGAGGCGGCGCCTTCCACAGCTCACCATGGTTGAGAATAGCACGAAACCTTCTATCACTGGCCACAGATCGGAGACGACCACACGACGCACTTCCCACCGAAGATTCGAGGGACCGCCGCTACCCACAGTACATACCGACAGTCTATCTCCCAAATCGCTGCAGGATAGACCACCCGCGACGCAAAGGCACTAACGCAGAGACGAGCGGGATGACACCAGGGCGCCGGGCGACTGAGTGGCGGCGGTCGGACCTCACACCCTACGCGGAAGCCCCGCGCGGTCACCGCCACAGGGACGAACTGCCCGACTGGCGCCGCGGCTGTGTCAGCAACGCACAGTCCATGCGTACTACAAATTTATTACTTGGTATGTATCCATTTATTTACATATAATTGCATGTTTGTGCATTCATAATTCCTCTACTCATGCGTCCATTAATTAATTTCTAGATTTATTACTATCCATCAAGCATTTTTGTAACTTCATTTCTATCTGCATATATCCTTGCACTGTATTGCTACTAATTAATATATGTTCATTGACTCTGATATATCGATTTACATTCCCTATTGATTTCTTCACAATCTCCATTCACCACATACTACTCCTAGCAACACGCTGGAAGTCCTACAACTTTTATTTCTAATCCTAAGACAAAAATAACATTTTCTAGATGTAACCGATAACGAATAGCAACAAATGATGATAATAGTCAATAAAATAGAATAAAGGATATACAGTGATACGTTTAGGGTTAACAAGAGAAAGGGAATGAGAAAATACAATGAAGGGAGGAGGAAGACGAAATAAAAAATGGCAAGGGAGGGAGAAGAAAAAAATGGTAGAAGAAAGAAAATGAAAGGGACATGAAAGAGAGGATAACGAAAAAGGGATACACAAGGAGAGAAAGAATACGATAGAAAAAAAAAACATGGAATAGAAGGAAGAAGACGTAGAAGAATAAGATAGTAAAAGGAGAATAAGAGAAAAAAATATAGAAGAGAAACATTTCAATGATGAGAGAGAGAAAGAGAGAGAGAGAGAGAGAGAGAGAGAGAGAGAGAGAGAGAGAGAGAGAGAGAGAGAGAGAGAGAGAGAGAGAGAGAGAGAGAGAGAGACTAAGAGATAGAAAGAAACTATGAAACAGAGAGAGACAAAACAGTTAGACAGAAACAAAGAGACATAGAAAGAAAGGCACAGACAGACAGACAGGCAAGCAAACAGGCAGACAGGGAGAGAGGAATCCACACATGCATAACAATTTCCTCGCCATTTATCACGCCCGGTTTACTGATCGTCGTATTACCATCAATCCCGTACTAACTCGCCCATTGAACAACCTGGTAGCGAGTGTAAAAAATATTCCTTTTTGCTACACGAAAACGAAATCATATCCCTATCAGTATGATTTCCTAAATAATTAATCAATAATTATAGATTGCAGTGAAATGCGCATTCCCGGATGTGTTTGGATACGTTTATATGCAGGTGAAAATTTTAATCCATTTACCCACGCCATTGACAATACCCCAATCAAAACACGCACCCACTTTCCCTTTCCTAAACGAGGCTAATTGAACCTAATCAACCTAAAAACTCAACAATCAAACGTAATAGAGTAATTACAGCGATAACGAGCCAAAGAGCGGCTTAATGATAACAGTAATTGGCGGGTTTTCGGCCCAAGCGGAACTCCTCTGACAGGAAGCTCGTTGTGCCGCTGGACACGCCGCTCGGCCCGTGACTCCGCCCACCCCGCGCCGCTGCTCACTATCATGCGCGGGGGGGGGGGGGGGGGGGGGGGGGAAGTCACTGTAGTAGCTATGGTGTGGTTCTGTGGGATGTCACTATCACCCCCATGGCAAGGGTCTGTGGGATGTCACTATCACCCCCATAGCAAGGTTCTGTGGGATGTCACTATCAACCCCATAGCACGATTCTGTGGGATGTCACCATCAATCAAGTAATGTGGTTCATTTCTGTAATCCGGTATCATTCTCCAGCGGGGCGCTATCTATTGCATCTTTATTATCGCGATATTTCCGCTGCAACACGCCATCATTCGCGCGACAGGCACTATCACCGTTATGCTGTAGTGGCGTGTGTTTATTGTCGTCTCGAATTTCACCTAAAATGAAAAATTCACTTTTTTGAGGGATTTCTCTCGTGTCCTTTCTCTCTCTATCTGTCGCTTTATTCTATCTATTGTCTTTTTGTCTAAGTATTTTTCTTCCTTTCTCATTTTCTCTCTCTCCTCCCTCTCTCTCTCTCTTTAGTCTCTCTCTCTCTCTCTCTTTAGTCTCTCTCTCTCTCTCTCTCTCTCTCTCTCTCTCTCTCTCTCTCTCTCTCTCTCTCTCTCTCTCTCTCTCTCTCTCTCTCTCTCTCTCTCTCTCTCTCTCTCTCTCTCCCTCCCTCCCTCCCCCGCCCTCTCTCTCTTTCTCTCTCTCTCTCTCCCCCTCCCTCCCTCCCTTCCGTCCTCTTTTCTCCCTCTCATTCCTTCTCTACCCCCTCTCCCACTCACACCCCATTTACTCCCCTCTCTTTCCCTCCCTCCCTCCCACTCCTTCCTTCTCATCCTTCCACTCCCATTCTCACCCCTTTCCTCCCCTTCCCCTCCCTCCCTCCTTCCCCCTCTCTCCTACTCTCACCTCTTTCCTTTCCTACTCCACCCCCTCCCCCCTTTCTATCCCATTCCCCTGTCCCCTCCCTTCCCCCCCTCTTCCTTCCCGTTCTCCCTCTCCGGCTCTCACCCTTTCCTCCCCTTCCCCCTCCCTCCCCCCCCCCCCCCCTTCCTTCCCGTTCTCCCTCTCCCGCTCTCACCTTTTCCCTCCCCTTCCCCTCTCTCCCCACCCCCCCCTCTCTCTCTCCTCCCTTCTCCTTCCTACCCTCCCCTTCCCTCCCGCCGTCCCTACCCCTCCCTTCTCCCCTACTCCCTTCCCCTCTCCCCCCTTCCCCCTTCCCCTCAGGTTCGGATGCTCTGGCCTCACATCCGGGCGGACGGCAACCCTCCGGCCCCACATATGATCATTTACACATCCCGCCTTCAGGAGGAAATACATTCAGAGGCGATTGTTCAGCGTGTTATGCAAATTCGTGTTATTGCTGAGGTTGCGAAAGAGGCGTATGATTGTTATTATGTAATTAAGGGCGGTTGAAGTAATGGGCTTTGGTGTCAAGGTGATGTTTCCGTTTTGAGTTGTTATTCGTTTGTTTTCTGTTCCTGTTGTGATCGTGTTTGTGTGTGTGTGTGTGTGTGTGTGTGTGTGTGTGTGTGTATGTGTGTGTGTGTGTGTGTGTGTGTGTGTGTGTGTGTGTGTGTGTGCGTGTGTGTGTGCGTGTGCGTGTGCGTGTGCGTGTGCGTGTGCGTGTGCGTGTGCATGTGTCTGTGTGTGTGTGTGTCTTCATAGGTTTACCACTTACGCATGCATGCGCGCGCGCGTGTGTATTTTTAAGTTGTAACCCACAGATGCACATACTTTATTCTCCCATCTAGCATTTTAGATATACAAGAAAATAGATACCTTTTTGGAGAATACGATACGAGTTAGATAAGATTCTGGCTCGTTGTTCAGGAAGTCGCACGCCAGACTAGGTTAACCTTTATCACATGTGTCATTAGTATTCAAGCAGATATGAGATTGCAGGGATATATTCATGCATAAAGCGTAATAGTAAGCTGTTTGGAAATGCATTCGTGTGTGTGTCCTTTAGTGAGTGAATGCAATGGAGATACACGCAAGCATATTACTCACGCATAAACACAGCCATGCATAAACACACACACGCCAACGCATACACACACACTCTAGCACCCACACCCACAGGCAACGATGTAGACGCCCGCACGCACGCAGCCACACCCACATCCATATCCATAATCCCTACACAAAAATAGAAACAAGCATGCATCTCACTGATTCTCTTCTCCGTTAAATGCACATACACACATGCATCAATATATATATATATATATATATATATATATATATATATATATATATATATATATATATATATACATACACACACACATCTATGTGTATACACACACATGTGTGTACGTATATATATATATATATATATATATATATATATATATATATATATATATATATATTTATATATATATATATATATATATATATATATATTTATATATATATATATATATATATATATATATATATATATATATATATATACATACACGTGTATATACATACATATATATATAATATATATATATATATATATATATATATATACATATATATGTACATATATATATATATATATATATATATATGTATATATATATATATATATATATATATATATATATATATATATATATATATATATACATATACATGCACACGCACACACGTATATATATACATATACATACATATGCACCATATATATATATATATATATATATATATATATATATATATATATATTTATATGTGTGTGTGTGTGTGTGTGTGTGTGTGTGTGTGTGTGTGTGTGTGTGTGTGTGTGTGTGTGTGTGTGTGTGTGTGTGTGTCTGTCTGTGTGTGCCATTATAGGTTTGCCACTTAAGCGTCGAAGAGGTAATTAACTCGGCTGTATTTTGTTTCACCTTTATTATCAAACGTTTCGAAGATAAATATCCATTTTTATCAGGCGAAAATGCATTAGACGATAGAAACTATAAATTTAAATTGATTCTCTAAAATTACAACGGTACGCAAGAAATAATACGAAAAAAAAACACTATGAGAATATTTAAACAGTGAAAAACAGTATAAATGATGCGTAAAAACTATCAAATATGGGTAATAGTCAGAGGGTGAAAGCAGCTAGTTAGTAAACAAGGTGGTTGCATTGGTGGTGTTATTAAACTTGGGTTTCATCTTTCGAATCAACATTGACTCCGGGATAGTGAGGTCTTGGCTGGAGGAATGAGAGGATAGAATACTGAAATCCGTGTTGGAGAGGGACGTGAGTGTTTGTGAGAGTGCTTTCGTATGGCCGAGAAGGATGGTCTGCTCAGCGGTAGTCCAGTACGAAATGATTTGGCTTTGTTGTTCAATTATTGGCAGGCAGGGCAGGTAAATAGATATAGAGCATTAGGATACACATCAAAGTGGCATTTCGTGGGCTGTTTTATTTGTTTATTTATTATTATTTTTATTTTGCAATAGTGTTAGAATTGCTGAAGACAAAAGTGGATTATATTTGAGGGTATTTTTTTGTAGGTGTTTTAATTGTTTTCTGATTCTAAAGCTTAATTTCCCCATAAAAGGTAGTTTCTCATAT